ATCTCTCCATTGCAGGCTCTGCCTAGAATGGCCTATTTTACTGGTCTGAACTGTCACCCAATCTTTCAATGCCTTCCCCCTCACCATTCTGCTAAATGAGCTGGGTTTTTCCTGTTCTTCCCTCTCACGCACGCCTCTGCCTGGATCAGCCCCGTTTTAGTCCACATTTCATTTAATCCCTTAGGAAGTCTGCCCGTCTTAAAACGCGACTCTGGGAGGCTCAAACAAAACAGCCCCAACTCTTGCTATGTGCAGAAACTAAAACACCTCAAATACGAATATGCTTCAGGTTGGGCACAGACCGCCCAAACCAGCGGATACAGGCGCCCCTGGCTATTAGTAGCATTATTCATCTATGTTTTAAAAAATAAATAAATAAAAATCACTCGACTTCACGCAGACACCTATTTCTCTCAAAGTCCATGTCCAAAAGATCCGACAGAATGGAGCTTTAGGATGGCTGTCTTTTGGTAGTACGTCACTCATGTTTAGATAATATCATGCTTGGCTGATGTGATCCCCTTGGTTTCCCTTTCTGCTTCTGACCTTTTAGTCATCAGAAGGAAGAAAAGATCCTTTTTCATGCAGCTAAGCTGGAATAAGTGGAGACGGTGCATGACCCGCAGGCTTATGGCACAGAGAGAGAACCCCTGTCCCCTGTAGCATATTTTTTTTAGCTATATTTTCTTGGTGGACCTTCCTTCTCAAGTATCTGGGTTGGGGTTGGGGAGAGGACAGGAGACAGAGGCACTTGCATATACAGGAAGGATCCACAGGGTTCTAGAGCCACCGTTTTCGGCAAAAAAATATGCATACTAAAAACAAAGCCAACGAGGATGTAGAAGACACTTACCCACACGCTCCCAGTTGTACACAGGTTGAGCAGGCAGCTCTAAGACTCTATAGGCTAAGATTTCCATGAAAGCACATTAAAATTCAAGAAAGCTTTTAAAACGAAGAACATGTACAAAAATAAGTCCATATACTCCTGTGAAAAATATACTGGAAACTTGCCACCACAGATGAGGTACCATTTATTCCCCACCCACCCACCCAGCTCCATTGCAACATCAAAAAAATATCTTAAGTCTTTTAAAAACAAAAGAACAATATCTGTCTGTTTCACAATCTTGGTTAAAACAGCACCCCTTTGTTATATTTATACCATTACAAAACAGAAAAATCAGAATCTCACATCTTAAAACACAAGCCTGAATTCCTGCTTCTCTGGCCTCGTGCAGTCACTGTCCACCTCCATTTAAATAAATATAGCAGCTATAAGTATTGTAAGAAGTGTGGCACCCAATGCCAATACCTTGATATTGTTATTAAAAATGTTTATCGGCACTTTACAAAGATAGCTTCACAACTCCGATGTTGCCAGGTTTGGTTCTTAAATTAGGAGATCCCCTCCACGTGAAAACCATTTCACTGCTTTAGCACGCCACATGAATTGAAAAGATGCTTTCCCCGATGGCCTTTGATTGGCAGGAAGGAGGAAACTGGCAGGCCAGGTTTGCAAATTAATTTGCTTAACAGCAGGAACAGAATAAGACATACCTAGCATACTGCATCCAGATGTGAAGAACTTTTTTTTTTTTTTAAAGGAAGCAAAACTCAGTGCCCGAAATAAGCTTGTTAAAGTGCTTCTAAAAAGCTAACTGGGAAAATTGTTTGGGGCATGAATTCCCACTAGAGTAGCACTCTCTAAAACAGGAGGAAAAAAAAAGTGCAACGTAAGCATTTATGAAAACACGCTTATCACTTTACCATACGTTCACCCAGAAACATAAAGCTGCGGGTTCCTTGATGCTCTCTTGAGCTTGGTTGTTTCCTTGCAGATGTTCCATGACCCGACTAGGTAAAATCGTCAGTGCTAGAGAGGGAGAGAACTAGATGTGACCTAGCTGAGTCATGAAAGGTCTGCAAGGAAACAAAGAAGCTCAGAAAGGGCATCAAAGATTCGGCAGTGGAACCCTGAGCTCCAAATAATCTCTTCTATTGGTACTATGAAATTCGCATTGAGCTCCGGTGAGGTTGGACAGCCTGGATCAGTGTTTCTCAACCTTGACAATTTTAAGGCATGTGGACTTCAACTCCCAGAATTCCACAGCCAGCATTGCTGGCTGTGGAATTCTGGGAGTTGAAGTCCACATGCCTTAAAATTGTCAAGGTTGAGAAACACTGGCCTAGACTGATAAATGGGGCGCGTTTTCTTTGGGCAAAGAGATGATAGGCCAGTGATGGCGAACCTTTTAGAGGCCGAGTCCCCAAACTGCAACCCAAAACCCACTTATGTATCGTGGAGTGCCGGGTGGGTGTGGCCCATTGGCTGGCCGTGGCCCATCGGGTAGGCGTGGCTGCGGTGGTAACGGCAGACTGGGTGGGACTAAAAAGTTCAATCAATCAATTCCAACTTTGCAACATCTTTTTTTTCCCCGCGAGAAGTTGAAATTGATTGATTGAACCTTTTTTTTTTTTTGCACACGGCGGCGGAGGCCTAAAGCGAAAAGGTTTTATAAAACCCAGCTGAAGGCCTAGGACTGGGGCGACGGCGCGCGTGCCCACAGAGAGGGCTCTGAGTGCCGCCTCTGGCACCCGTGCCATAGGTTCCCCACCACTGTCAGATAGGCAAAATGTGAAGGAATCTCCCATAACCTGAACTTCATAGGGAATGCAAAGGTAAGTGCAGTATATTAACGCATCCTCAGCTAGGATACTTTTGAGGCCTGCAGTTCACTTGTAACCCAAGCGAGCTGCTTCCCTAACCAAAGTGATTTCAAGTGCATTCAAATTGCGCCCTTTCCTCTGCTAGGCCACCAGGTGTGGTAATGCACTTTGAGACGCCATCCTACAGAAATCCAACAAACCCATCCTTAAAAAACATGGCAGAAGGGTAAAGGGTTGGGGGAGCAAAGTGGACTCAGATCAACCAGCTCCCCCATACAAAAGATTGGCAAAGAGTGGGCTCTTTTAAACGCAACAGGGAGGTAAGTAAACCTGCGTCAACCAGTCAAATGGTTTTCACATGGAGAGTGCGTGGCTTGTTTGTTTCAGCAGGGCTGGGTTATTCAACAATGCCCAATTGAACCATCTGTAGACCCTATCGCTGCAGATATAAAAAACCAGTGCAAATAAAACAGACAAAAACGCAGCTCACGTGTTTACAAAGTGCAAAACGGTTTCCCCCCAGACCCTGCCACTGAGTCACAATGTTCACCTCTGACAATAAAATACTTTGCTTCAGCTATCAAGTGGAATGAAACAGAGAGAGGCCCACCTATCAGATTCACATTTAGCGGCCTCCTTTCTAAAATGTATCCCACCAAACAAAATAGCGCACTCAATTTCGAAACAAAAAGCCTACACAATCAAAAATTAGCTTCTTAAGACTCCCACCCACCCACCTGCATTTTAGGCTTGGCCTGATTTCACTGGGACAAGAGTTAAGACGTCTGCAAAAGGCTTTGCTGTAGAGGAAAAACAGTCATAAAATAAAGATTCCGCAAACGGGTCCTGGGTTACAAGGCAGCATTTTAAACACTGGAGACGGAGAGCAGCATGAAGGAGCTTGCCTTTTTGATTTAAAATAATAATAATCCCGTTATAAGGCTTTCCTTTCAAAATTGAGGCTAATTTTGTTTGTTTAAAAGCGCAGGTACGTCCACTTTTCCATCATGAAAGATGTAAAATGCTGCTGCAGCAAAAAAGGGACACATTATTTTTTTTCCCCTTTAACGACTTATTGCACTAAAAACGCTAGCAAAAACAGGTTTGTCAGTCCTTTAAACAAAAACAGTTACGTCTCTAAACATAAAACCCCCAGGTTGCCCATACATCCACTTAAATTAAAGCATTGTTATTTGTCTAATAAATATAAAAGAGGGAGAAAAAAAGTACACATATAGAGATATGCGTGATCACATTAAAGTGAGAGGAAGCGACTCAACAAATCTGTCTCTTTTTTTAAAAAACAACAACAACAACAACAACACACAAAAATAACTCTCCACTTCAGCACGATGTGCCACCCTGCGAAATGAAGGGAAATAGGATGTTGCGAGAAGCTTGGAAGATACGGGCACAACACACAAGAGGGGAAAATTAGCTGGAACGCCTGGACCAGTAGAAAGCAACAACATCATCGGTCTGGCCAGGCTGTATCGGTACTTCTGGGAGAAAAATACGTGATGGATTTTGTTTCATGATGGGAAGCAAATTGAGTGGTGCGACTCCCAAGCCACGCAGACAGACACGAAAGGCAGCCGTTGGCTAAACTACACAGGGAAGTATTAACTGCAAGTGTGCACGCTCTCCCTATCCCCCCCCCCCCGATTGCGAGGGGGCCGTTCACCCAAATTAACACTTTGTTCTGCTTGCAATTCAAGCACAGACAACCGCGGAGGGGAAGCCGTACGCGACCCGCGAAGGGCACAAAACAGATTACAAAACACTTTCGCACACCCCTCCAACCCGCTCCCACCTCAACATCACTTGCATTGCTCCTGTACATTTTAATACCCTTTGTGTCGTTGTTGTTGTTGTTGTGGGTTTTTTTTTTTTGTTTGTTTGTTTTTTTGCAGAAAGAGTTGTGCTGCTGAGCAACTTGAGGTAAAGGCATACAAAGGATTAGACTCCGACTCCTCCTCCCCGCTCCCACCCACCCCCGAAAAAGAAAAGAAAACACAGAGACCCAAACGCACAAAGGAAAAGATGATGACCGCAGCACTTCCCGTAGGAAGCTGCTCCGAAAGCAGTTGGCTGGTTTCATATTGCATAATAAGTGGCGTGTTCTCGGTGAAGTAAACAAATCTTCCTTGCCTTGGGACAAGGATAAGGCCTGCTCCCCGTCCCCCACCCAAAAAAAACCCAACAGAAATTAGCTTCAGCAAGGCAGAGGTGCTCCCTCCCCCGTTCGCCGATTGCTCTGGAAACATACACTGTATGTGACTTAATTCTTTCTTTCTTTCTTTCTCTTTCTTTCTTTCTTTCTTTTTCTTTCTTTCTTTCTTTCTCTTTCGTGAATAGGCTCCATCTCGTTTTTAGATCTCTTCTCTCTACCTCTATTGTATATATAGCTAAGCAAAGTACATGGTGCGTAAGGTGTCTTGGTGAATCTGTACAGCCTTAGCGAGGGCTTGGGGATCTCTTCCGTTGCTCTGTCCGGAAACATGGCTTCCTTCGGCACTGTGGGAAGAGGAAAAAGGGAAGAGAGAGGATGAACAAACACCTGAGGAGCTGCGAGGCACCAGTTCTGCTCTCCTTCCTTCTTGGGCTTCTAAATGATCAGGCTCTGAAGGCAAAGATCTCCGGGATTATGTCAAACAGACTTTACGTCCATTAGCCAACAAAGGTAACGTTTTTAATCCAATATCCCTTTTAACTTCCCCCCAAGATGCCAAAGGTGGCATTTTAATTATAGAATCGTTGCTATGTAGGTGAACAGTGCAAAATAAATCCCTAGAACCAGAGTTCTAAATAATCCCTTAGGCCAGGGGTGTCAAACTCAATTTCATTGAGGGCCGCATCAGCATTGCGGTTGCCCTTGGGGGGTGGGTGGGTGTGACCAGGGTGGGTGTGGCCTACTGTGTGGGCATGGCTAGAGTGGGTGTGGCTTACTGGGTGGGCGTGGCCAGCTCTACATCGTTCGCATCAAGGGTGCCTATGGGACAGATCTGAGGGTCTCTGGCAGAAGGGGGTGGGACCGGGGCAAGCACCAAGGCATGGTGCATTTCTTCATTCCTCACAAAGGGTGACATCTCCCCAGCATGCACCCAGGGGGTGGGACCGACGCAGCAGGGGCTGGTTCCTTGCTGTTTCTGGACGGCCTTGTGGAGCTAAGACTGAATGCGTTTCAGCGTAGATGGCCACCACAAAATTGTACATTGGCTCCTGGCTGGCCTGGGCCATGGCCAAGGCAGCGGGGGCTGTTCCCTCACTGTTTCCAGGATGGCTTTGCGGGCCACATGAAACCACTTCGCAGGTCGCATCCGGCCCCCGGGCCTTGTGTTTGACATGTCTGCCTTAGGCTATATATAATGTTTATCGAAATCTGTTTTTAAGATGGCTCTTTGCAGACACAGTGGGAAAACTTTTCATATAATACTGTTGATATGTAACATGGGGTTCTGAATGAGCAATATGCTTTCCTTCCTCTTTACAGGCACATGCATACACAATGATTTTGTAAGTACATTGCAGACCTGTGCAAAGTGTCTCCTGTTTGAAGTATCTGAAGCTTAAAACCAACTGTTCTGAACTTACAATGTGCAAACTTTACAAAAGCATTCTAATCTTGAAATGCTCTTTAAATATTCCTGACTTCAAGGCCGGGGCAAGCAGTGAAATATTTCAAGGGAAACAAGAAAAAGGCTGTTTTGAAAAAGCTAGATGGAATCTGAAATTATTTTCACAGTAAGAGTCTGCAATGTTGGCCATCTCGGTCTCCTTTAATCCACATATCTTGTCAGGAAAACTGGTGTAATAGATGAAAGACTGTGAGGGATTCTTCACGTGCACACTGTGGAATGCCCTGTGTTAGCTGGGGAATTCTGGGAGTTGAAGTCCACCCATCTTAAAGTTGCCACAGTTGGAAAGCACTGCTATATGGAAAACGTAATCTCTGTTTCGGAACTGATTTCCCAACGCCCATAGAACCCAACTAAAAGAACGTGCAATGAAGCTACTTCTATCCCAACAAATCCTTTTAAAAAGCCAATGTTGCTAAGGAAATTCTGGAAAACACAACCAACCTTTGGCTTTTAGGTAGTCAGCCAGCCAGCTGAGGGAGCAACACAAGCAGTCATTCTCACCTGTCATGTTCTTTGTCCACAAGGTGGTATCTTGCTCTGAATGCTACCAGGTGAGCATAATAAGCTGGTGCAGGTATAGACACAGATCGTGTGCAGCGCACATAGGTGTGGCAGAGCTGGTACGTTAGCAGCTGAAGTTCATCTGCAGTAAAACAATTGTCATCCCACAAGACATGATAGTGTGAGGGGCGGCTGGTACCCTAAGAGAGAGAGAGAAAATTGACAGTAGTCCCAGTAGTTCAATTCATTAATTTTTGACATCGTATTTCTATGACTATGTTTCTCAATCTCAGCAACTTTAAGATGAGTGGACTTCAACTCCCAAAATCCCCCAGCCAGCAGAGTTGACGTCCAGACATCTTAAAGTTGCCACGCTTGAGGTACACTGCTCTGTAACATTCCAGAAGTGCAACTGTTTTTCTAAATTTATTAGGGCAGGCATGGCAATTAAATGATTCCAAGCCATCTAAGAAAGGGCTCTCATGATATAGCTGCCCTGATATACTCTGGATCTCTTCTTATATGTTGGAACTTAACAGAGGACTCAAAAACTATCTAAAGGTAAAGGTTTCCCCTGTCTGGTCATTTCTGACTTTGGAGGATGGTGTTCATCTCCATTTCTTAGTCGAAAGGAGCCAACGTTGTCCGAAGACATTTCCGTAGTCATGTGTGCAGCATGACTATACGCCACGGAATGCTGTTCAAAAAGCTATCAGCATCCCTAAGAAATACAGAAGAGTTTACTCTATCTGTGATTTCAGAACAACCATTTAAGTACAACTTAGACAACTGGATAGAGATAAACGTGTTATGTTCAAGTGTAGTGACTTTTTTCTCAGGATTACTAGAGAATGGATTCCATTAGAGATCCCCACCCTGGACGAGACAAAGCTTCTGCTTTACAGCAAATCAAGGTTTTAATGCTTATTATAACCAGCAAGTATGTATTTGCAAAAATAATTGAATGATAAAACAGTAATTTTGCTTTAGGTCAGTCTTTGCTGATTTAAGTTTTCTCAATCAAAAACTGGACAAATATGATTTTGTTCTCGTTCACTCTGTGACACCAAATCTGGGTAGGCATGACTAGAGGGGTTGGTCCAGGAACCGAATGCTTCGTTTCTCACCTGTATTCCTGCATGGCTACAGAGATAAAAATCAAATTCGTATGGATGTGTGATATCCGTATCTACTGTGGTTCCAGCAGGGATGTTTCCGCTTCTTCCAACCTAGAATATAATTAAATTCAATTTTAAATTAAAAAGGTGGGTTTTTTTTAAAAAAAACAAACACCTGTGTATATTTCCCAATTCTGGAATTCTAATGCCTACATTGCAAAAATATCTGGAGAAGCATTATGCCTTCCATGTAGCAACTATCAGTCAGTTTTTATGCACATTTCATTAAAAAAAAAGTGATCCCTTGGTTAAACTTTAAGCTGACTCCATGCTATTTAGAAATTAATCATACAAACCAAAGAACTTCAGCTACATCCACAGGTATCTGAGTCACCTTTAGGCAATACTAGTTTGCAATTTGGAGACCTGCAATCCAATACAGGTTGAGGAAAGGCAACTTGACGATGAGGGGCTAAAACCTTTTAACAACGTCATTATTACAGTCTGGGATTTTCCCCCCCAGGATATATGGTCACAGCAATTATCTACTTCAAAGAACTGTTGCAAGAATGGCAACCAGTATTTAAATGCTGCAAAGATTCTACCACTCTTATTATCTGCATTAAGAATGACGACTACAATAAGATATAAATATTAAATTTGAGATGATAATTATGGATGGTAAAGGTTTTACAGCGACTCGGATTGTTTTGGATTTGGATTTTGTTAAAAGGGAGGCTATTATGAAATGATTTAGAATTTAATACTGGAATGTAGCAAGAATATGCTTCTTTTTTCTCTCTCTTTTTTTCTTTTCTCTTTGCTCTTTATTCTTTGTTCTTTTTTTTTGGAATGAGATGGAATTAATAATTGGAGAATTATTGAAAAAGAACAGATTTAAATAAGAGAAACTTGGGGTACCTGAATAGTAAATATATAGGTTAGTTTAAATTTTAACATTTGAAAAATTAATAAAGTGAAAAACAGGATTTTTGGGATACATAATGAGCTCTTCTAAACGTTTATTGATTAATGAAATTCATATGTAGCAATACAAATGAAAATTTGTTCTAGAAATGTATTAATGGGAATATAATATATCTTAAATAAATGGAGAGTTTCAGTTTAAGTTTAAATATGTGAGAAATTATAGATTTGTATAGAATAGACACTGAGTGGTTGAAAGTTTTGATTGATTAAGAGAATTTATATTTAGATATATTAATGAATGATTTTATTCGAATCAATTTGATTATAATATTATATATAGAGAGGGAAATTTTAAGAAATATTGTGTGAACTATATATTTATAATGCTATTGTTTTCTTTTTGTAATTGATCACCATATCTCCACGTTGGTTCTTAAGCTTCTGTTGGTGCAAAATGGAAAACTAATAAAAATTGTTTTTTTTAAAAGAAAAGAATGACGACTACAATTCTTGTTTGGAAAAAAAAGTTGCTTGGAAACGGGACAGGTCTTACCCTTTCTGTCCTATCAGCACAAAACAGCCTCGTATGATGCCTCTTCTGAACCACGATGTATGTTATGCCAGGCTGATAGTCTTTTTCCAAGCTGATACAAGCCTCTCTAATTGCCAGCAGCTCATAATACAACACCTACAGAGGAGGAATGAAAAGGCTTGGCTTACTCGAATGGAGATAAGCGTGGAAAGATAAATCAAGATTTTTGTTCTGACAAACAAACACACAATATTTATACTTGTTCAGCCTCAACAAAATTCCGTGGCACGATTATTCAAGCTTGGCAACTTTAGGGGGGGGGGGGGTGGACTTCAACACCCATCTTAAAAGCTGCCAAGCTTGAAAAACACTGGACTAGGCAATAGAAAGAATAGAGTAGGACTAAGCTGTCTGTGTTGTAAGTTTTTAAACTTTTCTGCATATTATCATTTCTACATGTTTATCCCACCTTTTCCTCCCATGAGCAAAGGGCAAAAATGGTCTCCACTTCATTCCTGTGAAGTAAGTTGGGTTAAAGGGTAGTGACAGATCTGAAGCCATCCAGCGAAATTCATGCTCAACCAAATGGCAAATGTGTTCAAAAGGAAGTTCCTAAAGCTGGGGGCATGGAAAGTGATCAATGATCGATGGAAGGACCAGCCCTATTCCACAAGGCACAGGGGTAGGCAACCTCGGCTCTTTTATGACTCATGGACTTCAACTCCAAGAATTCCTGAGCTATGCTGACTCAGGAATTCTGGGAGTTGAAGTCCATGAGTCATAAAAGAGCCGAGGTTGCCTACCCCTGCGGCAAGGGCTATAGTGGATTACAAAGGAATCATTCAAGCAATGCCCTTGTTGACAGATTTTAAAGTCTTCTTGTGGCAATGATGCTGACAATATGTTTATTCTGGTATTTGGTCATCAGCAGTAAGGGCCTTCATCAATGTTTAAGAGCTCATTATGGTTTGGTTTTTTTTCTGGTTGTGAACGCAAGACTTAAGTTCCTTGGCACTCTCCCCTTGAACAAGTGTTTGAATTTTATCGTTAGTTGGTTTGAAACACCCCGCCAACTACGCAGCACGCAAGTGTGATATGAATGGATATGAAGACCTGTCGAAACTGTCCTTCTGAAACTCCGTCGCGGTAGAAGATGATTCGTGTGGGTTTGAATCGCGTTGATTTGTAGAATTGGATGAGAAGTTCTCTAACCATGGAGGCCAAGTCTTGGATGATCTCCTGGCGGGGTTTCTGGACTCTCACCGTGGCACAGTACCTGCTTGGATGTGCATCCATGCTACCTACAACCTAACAGCGAAAAAGGGATACATGAGAATAAATGAGGATTCCATAGGGGCCATGTTTCAAGCGTCCTTTCTTTAATACCAACTGTTCTATGGCTGCTTCGTTAATTTAAGCATATAATATTTTATATGGCTGTTGCTTACACTTGTCAATTAAACTGGGTCTTTTTTTTTAGAATGTTCTCTTAGGTTTTGAACTGATCTTCTTTTATCATTAGCATACACTCCCGCACAAGTTTATCCTCAGGGGCTGCCCCAAAGAAGAAGGAGTCAAGCTCTTCTCCAAAGCGCCTGAAGGCAGGACGAGAAGCAATGGGTGGAAACTGATCAAGGAGAGAAGCAACTTAGAACTAAGGAGAAACTTCCTGACAGTTAGAACAATTAACCAGTGGAACAACCTGCCTCCAGAAGCGGTGAATGCGCCAACACTGGAAGTTTTAAAGAAGAGACTGGACAGCTATTTGTCTGAAATGGTGTAGGGTTCCTGCCTGAGCAGGGGGTTGGACTTGATGACCTCCAAGGTCCCTTCCAACTTTATTGTTGTTGTTGTTGTTGTTGTTGTTATTATTATTATTATGACACAGGAACTGGCTCAAGTCAATAAGTGAGCTTTTAAAGCTCAGAATGAGCTTGAATCTGGGACTTAATCTAGCATCTTATATGTTTTATTTTCAAAATAAGAGTATTTTTATCTAAATATTTATCTATCAGAATTATTTGGAGGGAGAAGAATTACACACCTACCATATGCTTTATCATCAGGTAACAAATGCCTGCCTATTTTGGTATATTTCTTCTCTCCCTTAATAAGATAATTGGACAGCAAAGTTAACTGCAGTGATTCACAGAATCCAGGTGTGTAGAAGCTACAAGTAACCCTCAAAAATCATTCACCTTTGCTAGAGACAGTTTTAAATCTGCACACAATGAAAAATTAAGCAGAAAGAATGGCTGACAAGCCCATGAGAAACAAAGAACTGGTTTAAAGGCAATCAAAACACAAAACAGATTCATTCTGTCTGAATCCAAGTTCCTCAGATTTCTCATCCACATTCTTTGGGGAGGGGGGAGGAAGAAAGAGGGAGAGAGAACTATATATATAAAAAAAACATAGCTTACAGCAGCAATGGAAGGCTTCTTTCCATCCCCAGCAGGTGGATGAGTAACATCTGCTCCCAAGAAGATCACTGGTTGTTGGAACACAGAAGGTCTTTTAAAAAGGGGACAAATCAACCACAGGATTAATATCTAAGCGATGGACAGCAGGCCCTGGATTACATGCATCTCACATTTGAAAGGGAAAAAAAGGTAGATGCTTCTGATGTGTAGCCATGAACGTAACAAATCTCACGGCTAATTACTGCATATTACAGAATTTAGTTTCTTTGGGGAAAAAACACACACAAACATTAAATTCATATGTGAAACAAAGAACATAATCTGCCATTCTATCCTGGTATAGGTTTGGGAAGTCCGGGGGGGGGGATTTTTGAATGGTTATTGTGTTTACTTATGTTTGTTTTTTATGATGGAAAAAAATAAAGAAAATTTCTTTAAAAAAAATCTGCCATTCTAGAGAATGCCCCTTGTGCAGGGGTAGGCAACCTTGGCTCTTTTATGACTCGTGGACTTCAACTCCCAGAATTCCTGAGCCAGCCATGCTGAGGGGAGAGGGAGAGGTTTCCAAGCTGAGTCATGCTGGCTCAGGAATTCTGGGAGTTGAAGTCCACGAGTCATAAAAGAGCCAAGGTTGCCTACCCCTGCCCTTGTGCTAAAGTAAACACCAGTGACCAGTATTCATTCCTTGCCTGAATGTGCATCTTCTCAGATTTGCAGTCAGAATTTATAGCAGCAGGCAGGCAGTTCTCTACTTATGAACGGTTGCTTAGCAATCGTTCAAAGATATAACGGACCCTCCAGGGTATTGACAACCTGGTTCCGAAGTTTCGATGGCCACCGCTGACCTCATGGTCGTGTGACCATCAGGCACTCAGCAACTGGTCTGCATTTACAACCATTTGCAGCATCCCACAGTCACATGACTGTGTTTTATGATGCTTTTGCCTGAAAACCAGCATTTACTTCCGGTTTTCGGCTAAAACACCCCATAATGAACAATGGGGCCATTTTACGATCAGCGTGCTTGCTTTAAGATCACCATATTCATTTAACAAACCACCTCAAAAATGGTTGAAAAATTAGATTGGTCACTCGAGTGACCCTTTCTACAACCATCACAATGGGCAAACTCCATTATGGGCATAAACTAAGGACTACCTGTACCATTTTAAAAATTCCTACTTGATCGTCAAAAAACACTTCAAAGCAGCCAACATGATTTTGACTACTAAAGTAACCAAGAGTCACAGCGGTGTTTATTGCATGCATAAAAATTTGTATGCTTGTCGCATCAAAACAGGGCAATTCAAATTCCGTGACACATTAAGAAAGGATTCTTACCGTTGATGAGGTACAAGGATGTTGTTGATTCCTCCCAATTTTACATTAATCTTTAGGCACAAGTTTGAGAGGGTCTGAGGAGACGTTTTGATGACATTCTTGACTTGAACACACTGTGTAGCCATCCCCAGAAGTGTGTCCCCCACACGTTTCACCTCCGCTAAAAAAAATAAGCATTCATGTGAAGAATCTTCAAAGTTCTAAGGAATGGTTCCAAAATCTAACATTGCAGTGCTGTATCTGCTTACTGAAAATCATGCCCAGTCAGCATTAACCTTTCCCAGCTGATGTCTTCCAGATGGGCTGAATCATAGTTTACATCAGTGGTGGCGAACCTATGGCACGGGTGCCAGAGGCGGCACTCAGAGCCCTCTCTGTGGGCACGCGCGCCATTGCCCCAGTCCTAGGCCTTCAACTGGGTTTTATAAAACCTTTTCGCTTTAGGCCTCCACTGCCGTGTGCAAAAAAAAAAACCAAGGTTCAATCAATCAGTCAATTTCAACTTCTCTTGGGAAAAAAAAAAATCTTGCAAAGTTGGAATTGATTGATTGAACTTTTTAGTCCCACCCAGTCTGCCGTTACCACCGCAGCCACGCCCATCCAATGGGCCACGCCCACCCAATGGGCCACACCCACCCGGCACCCGACGATGCATAAGTTGGTTTTGGGTTGCAGTTTGGGCACTCGGTCTCTAAAAGGTTCGCCATCACTGGTTTACATTATCTTCCTTTCAATCATGGGAATTGAAACAAACAAACATATTTGGGGGACAGTTTGTTGGGAAAGGTCTCGATCTAAAATCAGGGGTGTCTAACCTTGGCAATTTTAAGACCTGTGAACGTCAACTCCCAGAGTTCCCCATTCCCTAGCCTGGCTAGGGAATTCTGGGAGTTGAAGTTCACAAATCTTAAAGTTGCCATGGTTAGATACCCCCCCCAATCTAAATGAAAAAGCAGACCAACGCTCTCAGTTTAACCATTTAAATAGCACGATCCCTTTCTGAAAAACAAAAGAAAAAAGTCCAAATAATCTCGAAACAAAAATGGTAGGGAGGGAAGACTAGTCAAGTTCTGCCTCTACTGCTACTGTATGCATTTTGTCAGGATTAATCTTTCTTAAGAGGTTTTGAGGAGTAAGATGAAACAAAACCAAGGAAGGTTAGTTTAATGAGGAGATCAATAGCAGAAGAAAATTCCCAACCAGTCCCCCCTCTAGCCCTTAAAAAAAATATTCAAAGCTCTCGAAGTCAGAAGTCTTCAGAAGATAAAACAAAGTCCTGAAAACACAGTCTACTTTCAAATATTTATGCCTGTTGTTGTTGTTTTTTCCTTGCTGTTATCATTTATCCGCACAATATTCTCTGAAAACATTCAGGAAGCATTGCCAATTAATATCCGAGAAAGTTTTAACATTTATATAAGAGAGTAGAAATGGATGATGCAAAGAACTAAACATAGTAGAAAGCTTTACTTTACCCCCAACATGGTGCAAAGTCTTTTCCACAGAAGTATCTTCCAAACAAGTGGTTTATTTCACTGACCTCCTGAATTTTTTTTACCCCAAAGCCTATTCTCTTCTCAGTTCCAATAATGTAACAAGAATCACGAAAAGCTTGCGTTTCCATTGTTACCCTGATTTGCTGTGCCCTCAACCCTATCTTCTTACAGAATCTACTCTTCTAAGATCATTCACTTTTTTTCCCAAGTCTTCTCAAGGCAATTTAAAACAGGCAGAACTCGTACAAAATGTTTGGATATTTGTTTACCATAGACCGGTGTCTTCCCCGGCAGAATGACGATGATGAGCTGGAGTCCTGAATATGTGTTTTTCAGATGTCGGAACATGGGCTCCACACTGTCAGCACCTTGTGCGTATTTACAGAAGCAAGGCTGGCCCTGGATTGGCATCCCCGCGTCCTTGGAGATTTTGCGCAGCTGATCTGTAAAACCCCTGGGGACAAATAAACACTGGATGACAGGAGTATACTAGCATCAAATACACAGAGGTCATTCATATTTGTTCCCCTTTTCTCTAAAAGTGAGGGTCAATGGATCACTTATTTAGTGTACAGAGAGTGATAGCCAAAGCTGAAGGCTATTATCATTATTAATGAGAATGAGTTTCTGCAAGTTCAGCAATTAACAGAGGGATAGAATTAAGATCAGGTGAAGTATTTATACCACCTTACAATGCCTTGGTAAGGCCACACTTGGAATACTGCATCCAGTTTTGGTCA